GGGTCATTGAATTTAAGTGTCTTAAATAAATAAATAAATAAATAAATAAATATCATCACCGCGGGGAGGGGGGGCGATGATAACTTCCTCAATGGCTCAAGGGGGCGTTTCTTTCAAAAAGGTTAAGAACCACTGCAGTAGAAGATAGGAGGGCCTGGCGTGCTCTGGTCCATGGGGTCAAGAAGAGTCGGACACGACTAAACGACGACGACACATGTAAAGGCATAAATATATCCTTTTCCTCTGTATGCATCCAGTGTGGTACACAGATGATGTTCAATGGCTCTCCTCAACATTTCATAAGAGCAGCAGATGTCAACAGACAAATATATAAGCATAGTTAAGGAATTCTTCAGATGTTGCTAAAAAGGGGTTACATTTGTTTTTGAACATGTGTATAACTATCTGAAATGGTGCACAAAGAAGACTACAACACTGAATGACACAATTAAAAAAACAGCATTTTAGAACATTTCTAATCAAAGAACTTGCCACTACAATCTTTTAAGTCACTCCAGTTCTGGTATTTCTTCACTTGCATTCACTCAGGTTATCTTGTAGTAACATCCAAACCAGCTTTCATTAACCGTCATCATCATCTTAGAATTGCAGAGCTGGAAGGGACCCTATGGATCACTGAGTCCAGTCCCTGACAAGGAGGCATCATGATTCTTTAGGAATCCTGCTATATTTCCAAAATGGCCTACCTATCAGTTAAGACTGAACTTCTATCTTACTAGATAATACAAAAGGCAATAGGCTAACAAAATTGATTGGCTAGAGTAAAAAAACAACAACTCTAGAAGCACATATACTGTACTCAAAGGTGCTCATTCCCCAGTTATATGCGTATACAAGTTTGCTGGCTGAATCTTTTCAATAAACAGGAACAACTTAAAACATAACAACATTAAGAAAAGACTAGCAAAAAGGCTCACGCAGTCTACCATTCTGTTTAAAGACTGCCTAACCAGTTACTCTGACTATGTGGTAGTGGCCCATGAGGCATGTCGTCCCCATTCTAGTTCCTTTCCAGGGCCAGCCCTGTCATTAGGCAAGGTGAGCAAACTACTTCAGGCAACAGATTGGAGTGCCCGCTCCCCAAGGGCAGCAAACGTTTTGCTATTGCATTTATTTAGCCAGCATGTTCAACCCCGCGGGCTCACGCTGCCAAGAGACACCGGTAAGAACAAACCTGAAGGAGGGATGGAGCAATGAGGGGAGCACGGGTGGGGGAAGGGGAGGAGGGGAAAACAGGCCAAGCTCTCCCGGCCGAACCTCAAGGATACCCAATACCCTCTCACGGCGCTAGAGGGCGCCGCACATCCCTGCGCGCGTGCGCAACGCAGACCGCGCCCGAGGAATACCCGTCCCCACAGCGTTACCTGAAGGGGCGGCTACACTCCCTCTTTTAACCCCACTGCTGGGCGTGAAGCTCCCGTGGAAGAGAAACAAAAGCACACAAGGGACAATTAGGACTAACCTGAGGAAGTGGATGATGGTTCGTATCGCTCTCAGGAGGGCTACACTAAGCTCGCCTCCTCCTAGGCGTCATTCGGGCCCCACTTTATGCCCCATGCCGCCTCCGCCGCCTTTTGACAAGGTCGGGTACGCGGAACGGGCGGAGGCGATTTCGAGGCGCATGCGCGAACGGCGTTTTCCTCCTCGACTTTCCCTCTCCCGTGTTTCGTGCAGTCCTTTGGCGGCCGAGGGCAGAGGCCGGAATTAGGCAGCGCACGCGCATGACGCACAGGGAGGGGCCGTCATAGTGACCGAAGGAGCAACCTTCCCAGGCAAGGCAGAGGGTGGATAGGCGTTTGCGCGTGCGTATTAGAGTCTTCCCGTCTCCTTACATAATAGGTGAGAGGTCCCGCCCGTGTTGCATTTTGGGAAATGTAGTTTAGGTGAGATGAGTGAGGCGAGAAGCAGTTGTCAGCAGATGCAACAGATACGCAAGATCAACGGCGTGGAAATTTGTGTTCGTGGTAGCTTATAGACTCCTCGAGCATAAGTGTGTGTGTGTGAGAGAGAAAGAGAGAGAGAGATGGAGAGAGGGAAAGAAAAGTGCCAGTAGCACAGTTCTTGTATAGTTGTTTTTAGCCAGGGGAATAAAACCTCTACATAACTCAGAGAGTTGGGATTGGCTTTGGAAAGTGTTCGGAAACTTTAGTGAATCCAAAATGCTTCAGCTAGAACGGGCTGGTTACAGGGATCACATAATCCCTCTGTTACAGCAGCTACACTGGCTGCTGATTCATTTTCCGGCACAATTCGAACTGCTGATCTTAACCTGTAAAGCCCTAAAAGGCTTTGGTCCAAGCTATCTAAAAAAACGCATCTCCCTTTGTGAGCTTGCCCAAGCATTAAGATCATCAGGAGAGGCCTTTATCCGAGTCTCACCACCTTCACAGGTGCACTTGGTGGGGAAATGGGAGAGGGCTTTCTCTGGCACTACTCCTAGACTTTGGGACTCCCTCCCACTGGAGGCCAGGCTGGCCCCATCTTTGCTGTTCTTCCACCAATAGGCAATAGGCTTTTAAGTGGAATGTTGTGCCTTCTTGCTTTTAATTCATTTTTGGTGTTAATTTTGTTTGCCATTTTAAAGTGTGGTATTTTATTCTTTTAAAATATTTGTATATGTACTGCTTTTTAGCTTTCCAATATTGTTTTTTAATGATGTAAGCCACCTTGGGTCCTATTTAAGGAGAAACATGAGGTAAAAATATTTTAAATAAATAAAAATAAAAGTGTCTGTCACTCCACTGCTGCAATAAGGTATAAAGCAAATTTGCTTATTGAGAATAAACTCCTCAATAAACATACATAAATATTGCCCTTGAACAAGATTTGAGACAAGAGTGGCAGAGATGCAGACACCTTGAAGGAAGGAGTTGAATCTGACCTCGTCTAATAGTGCAGTCCTTAATTTCTGAATGCAAGTGCTTATTATGACAATCCCTGTGGTCTGGCCCCAAGGAGGGTCCATAAACAAAGGCAAGTATGTTGACTGATACATAATATCAATTAAAGAGTTTCAGCAGTTTTCATCTTTGCCAGAGGTTTTTTGTAAAGTTAATTCATTTTAGTGGCCTCTTTAGTACAGTGGACCCTCAACTTAAAGACGGCTCCACTTACAGACTTTTCGAGTTACAGACTTCTCGGGCCGCAAAATTTAGGTTTGACTTGCAGCTGGAGAATCGACTTACAGACCAGAAAAAAAACAGAACAAAAACGGTCGGTTACGGATTAATCAGTTTTCAATGCATTGCAGGTCAATAGAGCCTCGACCTACAGACTTTTCGGCCTGCAGCCACCGTTCGGATTAATTCCGTAAATCGAGGGTCCACTATACCAAGCAACTGCAAGATGCTTTCAGTGACATAAGAAACAGCTTTCTTTCTTTCTTTCTTTCTTTCTTTCTTTCTTTCTTTCTTTCTTTCTTTCTTTGTATCAGAATCACCACAGTACAATTAATGGGATGCAATATAAAATTAAGAAATAGCCTAGATAAAAAACACATAATATAAGCTGGTTTACAAAATAAAATTACTATATAAAGCTAGATGAGTTTTTGCCCAGTAACAGGCAGCAACAAGGGCATTTGGGACACCTAACACCAAATATTCCATGATACATGTTGAGGGGCACAGAGTACGCAGGCATAGGTGTAACTTTCCATGGGGTCATGAAAGGAGACACACACACATAGACCCCAAGAATGTGACTACCTTTGGATATCTCCTGAGTGACAATTGCATTAGCTGATCCTTCCACTCTAGGAGCACCAGCATAAGTCCATTCACTGTATGAACATTGGGAACAGCTTACAACAATATATTGCTTGAGAAATCCATTCCCCTACCACAACTGCTATGAAGATTTAAACTAAGCTCAGAAGACACTGTCCCATCACCTCCTGGCAAATAGAAAGGGAAGATATGGAGGCAGTGACAGGTTTTACTTTCTTGGGCTCCATGATCACTGCAGATGGTGAAAGCAGCAACAAAATTAAAAGATTCCTGCTTCTTGGGAGAAAAGTGATGACAAACCCAGACAGCCTCTTAAAAAGCAGATACATCACCTTGTCAACAAAAGTCCGCATAGTCAAAGCTATGGTTTTCCCAGTAACGATGTATGGAAGTGAGAGCTGGACCATAAAGAAGACAGACTGCTGAAGAATTGATGCTTTTGAATTGTGGTGCTGGAGGAGGCTCTTGAGAGTCCCCTGGACTGCAAGGAGATCAAACCTATCCATTCTGAAGGAAATCAACCCCGAGTGCTCACTGGAAGATTCTGAAGCTGAGGCTCCAATACTTTGGCCATCTCGTGAGAAGAGAAGACTCCCTGGAAAAACCCCTGATGTTAGGAAAGTGTGAAGGCAAGAGGAAAAGGGGACGACAGAGGACAAGATGGTTGGACCATGTCATCAAAGCTACCAACATGAATTTGGCCAACTCTGGGAGGCAGTGGAAGACAGGAGGGTCTGGCGCTTTGGTCCATGGGGTCACGAAGAGTCAGACACGACTTAACGACTAAACAACAACAACAACAGAACTGGAACTGAAAAAGGTTGCAGTTAATGTTATTGTAATCTTCCAAGAAAATTAAAAAAGGCCCCACATTTCAACCCTGCCAGGCCTACTCTCACAGCACTATTGTACAGGGCTCCTTTACAACTGAGGTTTGTGTCTGTGCAACAACTCTGTCATACAAAAGGTACAATCCCTACTCAAGAAGTAAATGACGGTGATGTGGCCTTAGTTATTTTTCCAAGATGACGTACTACAAGTGGGTGCTGATAAGTATTGAGCCTTTCCCAGAAAAAAATGAGCTAGGAAGCTATAACTGCCACACTATTCTACATATTTCCCGAGGAAGTCAATGCACTTGCGACATCTGTCCTGCAGCTTCTTCAGTCCCTGCAAATAAAATTCTTCCAACTGCTGATGTAACCACTTATTTGCAGCATTAGTTGCCTCCAGAACACTCCCAAATCGTCCCTTTAGGTGTTTTTTTTTTTTAGTTTGGGGAACAGATAATAGTCAGAAGTAGCCAGGTTGGGAGAATAGGGTGGATGGGGCATCACTTGAAAGCCTAAGGATGTTGGTTTTGTTATTGTTTCACTTGCAGTGTGTGATGAGGTGTTGTTATGCAACGGGATGATACCTTTAGAGAGCTTTCCTCAATGTTTTTCCTTGATGTTTTGCCTCAACTTCGTCAATAAAGCACAGTAATATTTTGCATTGATGGTTGAACCCTGTTGGAGGTAGTTCCATCAGCAGAACTCCCTTCTTATCCCAAAAAACTATTGCCATTTGCTTCTGCCCCCACTTTTGCACTCGGAACTTCTTTGGTCTGGAGGAACCACTGTGGCTCAATTCCTTAGACTATTCCTTTGTCTCAGGATCATAACAGTAGATCCATGTCTCATCAGCAGTTAGCAATTTGCCCAGGAAATCTGACTCATTTCTTGCAGAATGTTCCAAAACAGCCACCAATGACTCTACACGTTTCCTCTTTTGTTCGGTTGTCAAAAGTTTGGGGATCCACTTTGCTGCCAGCTTTCTCATTTCCAAGTCATTGTGGATAATGACACCAACTCTCTCATGTGATATTCTCAGATATATAGCAACACTTTTGGCTGATATTCAGTGATCCTCCATGATCATGTCATGGATGGCATTCACATTTGCAGGCACAGAGACAGAAACAGGCCTTCCACTGGGTTTCTCACTTTCAACACCAAAATGGCCAGTTTTAAAATTGACAACCCAATGTTTTAACTGTTGCATATTAAGGACCACTGTCACCCATTTCATCATGGATCTGCTTTGCATCTTTCCCTTGGAGAAACAGGAACTTGATTATGGTCCTATGCTCTTCCACATTGAACTTTTCTGGAGGTGCTGCCATGTTTACTTTGGACCTGAACATGAAAGATAAGTTAAAATCATAGGTAGTTGATTTTTCCACCATTCAATACAGACAAATTGGCCAATACACCCTGCAATTTATAGCTTCCTAGCTCACTTTTTCTGGAAAAGGCTCAATATCAGCACCCCCTCATAAACTGCTGTCAGGATGGCTGTGATTTGGTTCGTTTGAAGGTTGGAGCAGTTCCTCTTTTTGCGGGGGGGAATAACCAAGAAGACTCATTTGAATGATTAACAAATTTATTTGGTTTAACATTCAGGGATTCAACGACAATAGGGTCAAAACAGTTCAGACTAGGTAATTGTTCATAAGATGGTAAGAATTCAAACGGTGACTTTGGAGAGTCTATTGTGGGGCTGACCCGAACCGTTCTTTGTCCGTGGGCTTCCTCAGCAGAGCACTCCTCACTGCACATATCGTGCTGCAACAGGGATGCTGAGCCCAATCCCCCTTGCACGGTGGTTGACTGAATGATGAATCGGGTCTGATCACCCTCCTCCAGTGACCTTGTCCTAGTGGGAAGACCACGACTGTCCATTCTTGTGTTTCTGTTATTGCCACCTTCTTTTCTTTCTGATCAGCGTCAGGTAACAATCCTCCCACTTTTAAATTGGGAAAATCTTCTAATAACTCCCACACTTTTCCATAACTAGACTCTCCTTCCTTTCTTATTCCTTCCTGCGTTATACTGAAAACTCTCCTTTTTCCCTCCTCTTTTATATCCTACACTGGTAAGGTTAACTCCTCCCCCTCCTTTCCCTTCCCTTCTTCTAACAGACAAACTTCCACCTTTATTTCTCTCTCCTCCACTTCCTTCTTATCATTTTCCTTTACAATCAATCCTTCTTTTTCTTTTCTCTCTCCCTCTTTCTGTGACACTATT